TACTCCCAGCTTCTGCTACAGCTAAGAAATGGGTCAGGTTAGGAATTCACCTATCTTAGAGACAAGTTATTGGTTCTTGTGTGCTCTGTTGTTTTGCGCTGATTTACGGTGTTCAGTGTTCATACTTTAGATGTTTCATTGCTAAATGGCAACACTATTTGATCTTGTATGATGGGTTACTTTTGGCTTGGCAGATTGAGCTTTGATGGTGTCGATCCTACAACTTTCATTGGGCTGCAATGCAAGGCAAGCGTTGAGCTATAAAGTTATGTGCTTTAGGTATTCCATGTTTTATGAAAGGGACCTGTTAACACTTGATTGTTATCTAATCTCTAGGTTTTTTGGCCACTGGATGCTAATTGGTATCATGGTTCTATCATTGGATACAATGCAGAGAAAAAACATCACGTAGTAAGTTCTGTCTATTGTATCTGCCTCATGCCATTATTTTTTTGGTGACTGTCGGAATATCTAAGTGCTTGTTCTTTTCACCACTGTTGAAAATATTGTACAGGTTAAATATGGAGATGGAGATGGCGAGAAGTTAACTCTTCATCGTGAAATGATCAAATTTTTCATTTCTCGTGAAGAGATGGAGCTGCTAAATCTCAAGTTTGGTACCAATGATTATAATGAGATGGTTGCATTGGCTGCTTCTTTTGAGGGGTGCCAAGATTTTGAGCCTAGAGACATCATATGGGCGAAACTAACTGGTTAATACTCTATCCTCAACTGATTTCTGTTTTCTTGTACATGCATTTTATTAACTTTGTGTAGAAAAGATTTAGGCATATATATAACCCTCTTTATGGTATAAGAACATTTGATGCTGTTAGGAAGCATATAACTTACCAGACCTATTTGCTGTTCGAATTTCTGGGTGATTAGTTAGTATGTATTGCCTAGCTTTCAAAAATTCTGGTTTCCAAAAAAACTTCTGAAGAAAAGCAAATATGCCCACTGAGAATCATACTGCTATGGTTGTTAACTTTTCCGGACAGGTCATGCTATGTGGCCAGCAATTGTTGTGGATGAATCTGTAGTAAAGCGCAAAGGTCTAAACAACAAGGCATCTGGAGGAAATTCTATCCTTGTACAGTTTTTCGGCACTCATGATTTTGCTAGGTTAGCAAATCTTCTTAAAATCTTTAGAGATCTTGCAATACTACCAAATTGTTGACATGAATGATACACATCATAATTATCAAGTGGAAATCGACATTTTATCCTTTGGTTTTATAGAATACAAGTCAAGCAAGCAATCTCGTTTCTTCAAGGGCTTCTCTCACAGTCTCCTCTGAAGTGCAAGCAACCTCGGTTTGAACAGGCCATGGAGGAAGCAAAAATGCAAGTTCTCTTGCTTTACTGGCATTCTTCTATTTAACTTTCCAATTTCGTGAAGTTGTTAACAAATAGACCATTTCCCTATGTTTATCCGAACATGAACATGACGCCTGCTAAATTGTGTAATTGACCTTACTCAGGTACCTAAAAGAGTTTAAGCTTCCTAGAAGGATGGATCAACTTCAAAAAGTTGCTGATACTGATTGTTCGGAAAGGACTAATAGTGGAGAAGAGGACAGCTCAAACTCTGGTGAGGATTACTCAAAAGATGGAGAAGTCTGGTTGCGACCAGTAGAACTTGGAGATTGTTTGCATACAATAGGAGATCTGCAAATAATAAATCTTGGTAATGTATGAAGTTTATAAGTATGTTGTATCATCTTTGGCTGGAATGGACTGCTCATTATGCATTTGCGTATGTCAATGGTCTTCCAGGAAGGATTGTGACAGACTCTGAATTTTTCAAGGATAGTCATCATACTTGGCCTGAAGGGTATACAGCTATGAGAAAGTTCATATCACTAAAAGGTCAAACATTTTCCAGTTTTCGTACTTTTTTATATTAATCAGGCATTTTCTGTCTTTGGTTGGTTGTACTTAGTTCATCTGTATGTGCGATTTTATTGCTTTGACTTTAAGCAGATCCTGGTGCATCTGCCATGTACAAGATGGAAGTGCTAAGGGATGCCGAGTCAAAGACGCGCCCTGTTTTCAGAGTAACGACTAACAGTGGTGAGCAGGTTCGTTTTCTACTTGGAAGGTTTGTGTGCATAGAACTTTGTTATAACCATATGTTACATTGATAGTTGATATTTGGACAGTTTAAAGGGGACACTCCATCTGCCTGCTGGAGTAAAATATATAATAGGATAAAAAAGATACAGAGTGCTTCTGATGGTCCTGATGTTTTGGGTGAAGGACTACATGAATCTGGTACAGATATGTTTGGCTTCTCCAACCCAGAAGTTGTTAAACTTGTACAGGTATTTCTTCATGAATCTTAATTATATGTAGTTGTTTTAAATTAGTCGCTTTGTACTCCATTCACTTGACACTCAGGAGTTTTCGCTAGATTTTCCTTTGTACACATTTTGGGGACCCTGAAAATACCATGGTGCTCCCTTCTGTTTTGCTGTTAAAACGCATCATTAGGCATCTTTTATGTTTAGTGTGTTTTAGATTTGCAGTTATGTGCATTAAATCTTTCTTCGCTCTTTACTCTCAAGTTTCTTAGTTAAATATTGATTATTTCCCACTCGATGCCGTATGATAAGCTTTGACCTAACTGGCAGGGGCTATTACAATCCAGACCAACTTCCAAAACTTCTCAGCGCAAATATAGTTCGGGAAAGTATCAAGATCATCCTACTGGTTACCGACCTGTACGGGTTGACTGGAAAGATCTTGATAAGTGCAATGTCTGCCACATGGATGAGGTTAAACGATGCTACTTCTTCGATGGAACGTTTAGTATGTTCATCTAATCTTGTACGCTTAATAAGTTAGTTCTGACTTAGATTTTCCTGTCTGCAGGAATATGAGAACAATTTGTTTCTGCAATGTGATAAATGTAGAATGATGGTATTGCTCTTTCTCTGAGTTGCTTGTTATTATACGTCCTTTTAGATCTATACTCCGTCGTAGCTGGCATCCTATCTTTTTCTGGATGATGCTCAGTTCAAATATTTTTTCCTGGACTAGGTCCATACTAGATGCTATGGGCAGCTGGAACCTCGTGATGGCGTTCTGTGGTTGTGTAACTTGTGTCGTCCTGGCGCTCTTGATATTCCTCCACGATGTTGTCTTTGTCCTGTAGTTGGTAATTTGACCAAACTCTTTTGGTGTGGAGTCTTTATACTTTCATTATCATTAGTGACCAAACAACAAATAAATCTTTCAGGTGGCGCTATGAAGCCGACAACTGATGGGCGCTGGGCTCATCTGGCTTGTGCCATATGGATCCCAGGTTCAATCTTGACCATATGTTATGTTATTCTGCATGTGTCTACTTTCTACTATGGATTTAGGAGGCTTTACTTTTATTGTCCAAGATGTGTGATGAACATTTTTGATATTATCCAGAAACATGCCTATTGGATGTCAAGAAGATGGAACCCATTGATGGGGTTAATAAAGTCAATAAGGTTTGAGCTTTTCATTTTCAGTTTCCTTTAACTCTGTTGTCTCAAATAGAGTCAATGGTCTTTGCAGCATAGGCCCATTTCTATTAGCAATATGATGTTGATTAGTTGTTTTCTTTTCTTAACACTTCGAAACAGGATCGTTGGAAGTTATTGTGCAGCATCTGTGGGGTATCTTATGGAGCTTGTATCCAAGTAAGAATTCTTTTGATGACAAGAATAAACTGATTCACTGTGTACCCTTCACATGACAATATTTTCTAGCAGAAACTTCCCAGTGAGCTGCATAGGAGCATAAATTTTCTGATCTTTTCTAAATTTGGGGTGTCTATTGCTTCCAATGCTTAGACTTCTACATGTATAGCAGTAATTGAATAAAGTATTTACCTAGAAACAATGATCTACATTTTCAGTGTTCAAACAGTTCTTGTCGGGTGGCATATCATCCACTATGTGCACGAGCTGCTGGTCTCTGTGTTGAGGTACTTTCATATCCTACAGGGGATCATGTGATTCTGCATTCATTCATATACGTTTACTCAACCACCCAGAATTCATCAGAAGAGATGGTTCTAACTATGATAACGTTCTTGTACTGTTCTTGTAGCTTGCGGATGAGGATAGGCTTTTTCTTTTATCAATGGAGGATGATGAAGCAGATCAGTGCATCCGCTTACTTTCATTTTGCAAGAAGCATCGACAAACAGCAAATGACCACCTAGAAACAGAGTACATGATCAAACCTGCTCATAATATTGCCGAGTATCTTCCACCTCCTAATCCATCTGGCTGTGCTCGTACTGGTATGCACTTGCACTGATAAATACCTGCTAGAAACAAAGTAGATTTACAGCACCTGTTTGGGAGGGAACATTTTTGCTAGTTATTCTCGTAAGCTCAGGTGTAGCAATTCTGTCTTTGGTTTATCTGTAATGATCTTCTACTTCATTCTCTTGGACTTCTATATTATATGCTCAGAGATCTAATTTTACATATTTTCACATTTGGCTTGCATGTATTCATGTTCACATCTAAGGGGATACTGTATGGGTAAGGTTATTAGCTTTCTCTTGCAGTATTATTGATTTATATATCCTATGTTTCTGGTAGAGCCTTATAATTGTCTTGGAAGAAGAGGACGAAAGGAACCTGAAGCTCTTGCTGGTGCTTCTTCAAAACGATTATTTGTTGAGAATCAGCCGTATATTGTTGGTGGTTACTCTCGACATGATTTTTCAACCTACGAACGCATTTATGGATCAAAGGTGTTACAGATAATTGCTCCAAGCAATATTCTATCTATGGTTGAGAAATATAGATACATGAAGGAAACATACAGGAAGAGATTAGCATTCGGTAAGCATTCATTCAGCAATCGTAAAAGATGTTACTACTCGTTCAAATTTTCTGCTATGTTGCCTCAGTTTTTTCATGTCTTTGAGGTGTTTTGAAGATCATATTAGTGGAATTTCTTGTAGGAAGATATAACTGGTCGGATTTTTGTTCTCACTGAATTCTTGGGATCCATGATGCATTTTTGTGATGGGTCTCTGAATATAGTGATCGTTTTTACTTATTATGAAATAGACGGAAACGTTTCCCATAAAGCCTAACATATCCCTCGAAACTAATATTCTCTGAACATTTTATTTTTCCTTTAAAATGGTTCATTTTCTTTTACAGGAAAATCAGGAATTCATGGTTTTGGGATCTTTGCAAAGCTTCCGCACAGGGCAGGAGATATGGTTAGCATTCGTAACTTGAACCGTCTATTCTTGTATGTTAAAGCGTTAGTCATGAGAATGTTGTGAATTGGGTGGGTGCAGGTGATTGAATACACTGGTGAACTTGTTAGGCCCCCAATAGCTGACAAGAGAGAACATCTTATATACAACTCAATGGTGGTGAGTATCTGACCTTGTACATATTATACTCAAGAGAAGATTCTATCAGTAGTATTGGAACTAATTATCAGCACATTGATCAGTGGCTTTTCTCATCTAGAACAATATAACATTTTACTTTTGTGTATTTTATTGATTGCTTTTTTGGCTCCAGCACTAAACATTATTTTAGCCTTCCCTGAAATTAAGTGTGTTGTTAGTATCTACACATCTTCCTAGKTTTTACTCAGTGATTTTTGGGCTCTATTGTTTTTTTGGTTAGAAGTATTGAATTGTTAGATATCAATTTATGAATATATTCTTTTATGATATAGGGTGCTGGGACCTACATGTTTAGAATTGATAATGAGCGGGTCATAGACGCAACAAGGACAGGAAGCATTGCCCATCTGATTAATCACTCATGTGAGGTATGGTCAAGTAGTGTTTGACAATGGTATTTGGTTTGGTTAGCGTCTGCAATATCATCACATTACTTATGAATTTGTTTCTTTGCAGCCAAATTGCTATTCAAGAGTCATTAGTGTTAATGGTGATGAGCATATCATCATATTTGCTAAGAGGGATGTCGCAAAGTGGGAGGAGCTGACCTATGATTATAGGTATTTTTTTTTGCCCTTTATTTCTCATGTGCCTATGAAGCTCCATGATCATTATACTGATTTTTTACCTTTAAACTTGCAGGTTCCTTTCAATTGATGAGCGCCTATCATGTTACTGTGGCTTCCCACGGTGCCGGGGTGTTGTTAATGACACAGAAGCGGAAGAACAACAGGCAAATATTCATGCTTCTCGCTGTGAGTTGAAAGAGTGGACAGAGACTTGAGAGGTAAGGTATATCTTCTAATATGTTCAACTTTAAAAGAGTTTGTTCGTCGTAGCTTATGAAAGCTAGTTTTCAGGTTAGTAGATCTCTTTATCTCTATCCGATATCATGAGTGCTTTTGTGCGTCTTAATCACTCCGGGTGACGACGGTCTAATTTCATGGTGAGGCCAGTCATTTGTATTGAGCATATGGTTACCACTAGTCCCAAAGACAATTATTTCAATGGATGTTTTGTCTAATTTACAAATTCCCTTTGTTTACCAGTGAATGGGAGTTTTTAACCGTCTGTTTTGACTTGATCCAGATCTTCACACCTGCTGTTTCTACATGAGATCTCCCTGAGGACGTCACAGCTTTGCAAATTCTCATGATTCTGGCTAACTTCCCACTCTAATAGATGCCCATTAATCTCCCTGAACATATACTGTAACTCTCAATATTCTTGACTTGAGACCATTCAATTCTATCCCAAGAATTTTGCCACAATCCATTGTTTGTAAAGATACTAATTCAGGTTATACATGATGCATGGTTCCATTCAGTTTTTGTATCTTGTAACTTGTAAGCACTGTGATTAGAGATTCATTCAACAAGGAATTAAGTTTTGAAGTCCTTAAATAAGAGGTTCATGGTTTTCTTCAGTCTGACACAACATGTGAATGAAAAAGTCTTTATCACTCCTTTATTTAGTCCTTTGTATTGTTCACTTTATTTCCGCATTTTTTTGGTTCTCCTTTGCATGTGACCATTATTGGTCGTATCCCTTGACCCATTCACGTATTTGGAATATAATAAGATCCGTCAAATTGGGAGTCCATTGACTTATTATTAGCCGCCTTAGTGAGGTCAATAAATTATTCCCAACGAGAGAAAACCCTAACTTCGTTTGCACGCAAGAGGAGATTTTGGCGAGGATTCCGATAACATCTCTGAGAGAGGTTCGATCCACTTGTAAACTATGGCACTCTTTATCCAGAGAATGGGTTTTGGGTAAAGCAGC